TCCATAGGCATGAATTACTTCAATAATGGTGTTAGAACACAGAACCAAAACCTATTCAATAACTAACACGAGTTAACTTTTACATGTTTGTGGGAACATTATATATACTCCAATTATATATTTCCAATTTAGCAGGAGTAGTCTTATTAGAGACTTCTTTTGCACTTCCCAAATACTCTCATACACTGAAGGTGGGAATGCCAATGATACAACTGATGTGGAGGGGAAGTTGACAATATCCAGAAAAATCATAGATATGTTTACTCTTTGACTCAGTAATCCCATTTCTAGGAGGCTATCCTGAAGTTAGTCTGGCAAAGGTATGTACCATGTGCACAGACTCATTAATTGTAACACTACTTGTAATGGCAAAAGATTAAAAACAAGCCCATCAGTAGAGAACAAGTTAATTTATGATATCGCCACATGATGGAGTATACATGCAACCATAGAGAAAATGAGGAGGATTTCTGCATAATGACAGATTGTGATCATCAGGATACATGAGGTGAAAAACGCTAGGTGCATATCAGCATATACACCTAGCTATGTTTCATCAATAGTGATGTGCACATGTAATGCACAACTGGTAGATATTATGTTTATCTTGATGTAATACACCATAAAGTACATACCATCACCTGTGGAGTATTCTTGCCAAAAATGTTTAATCTGAGTCTCATCATGTCTTTAAGTCTAATGACCAGTTTACACGAAATATGGGAACAAAGGCATGTGTTGAAGAGACACGGGGAAGCAACCAGACCAATGCGGGAGGTGGGACGGAACACCACCACCGGTCTGTTGTCTTTAACAAGGAAATGTCTTGGGAAAAGATAAAGAGGTTGTGATGAGGACTATTCCAGTTTAAAAGAGAACTTAGACGTTAGAACTTGAATCGATTCTGGTTTTAGACTAACCAACTCCAAAAGACATTTGGAGGGAGTTAAATATGGACTAAATATTAGATAGTTTTAGGGAATTAGGGTTAATTTTATCAGATGTGATCATGGTATGATTAGTTAGAGAGATGTCCTGTTTTCAGAGATGCCCCCAGAGGTATTTAGGGTAGAAATGCTATGTTGTCTGTAATTAAAATACTTCAGAAAAAAATGGTTGAAACAAATTGGGCAGAATGTTAAAAATCATGAAATCTAGTGATGAGTATATGGTGGGGGGTGTCATTTTATTATTCCTATCTTTATATATGTTTGAAACTTTTCATTTAATAAAAAGCTAAAAAATAAAACTGAAACAAACAAACAACAATTGATGTGCCTTCCCTGGTACTTCCTTTCTCCCTCTCGATGCCTGGGAGCAGGAATACACTGAAGCAGCTGCCCTGACTCCATAAGTAGGAGCCACAGGTTGAAGTCAGCAGAGTCGTGCCAGCCTTGGGCCATCCGTCTACCAGCACTGGACCCTACCTACGCAGGGAGAAATAATTATCGTAATTATGCTGTTGGAAAAAATTTAATTTTAAGTGTTGTAAATTTGCAGGTTGTGTCAAGAAACAAAACACACACACTGAACCTCTGAAGTCTCACTCTCCCCTCCCACACCTTCGAGACTAAATCTTAGACCTTTTGGGACATGCAGAAGTAGGAGTCTGTGGAACAATTCACTGCAATATTGGGGACATTGTTAATTCCTAATAAAAGTTGCCAAAAAGTTTCTTTGATTTGTCTCACTAGTGATCAGATGACCTGCCTCCATGTAGGTGGCTTATAAAATGGAAATGAAGCTGCCCTGAGGACTCAGAGTCAGTGATAAAACTTTACATAAATATCTTTTCCAAATAGTACGTTTCACCAACCCTGAAGAAGGGGAAGTTATCATGAACAGAAGTATCTGGATGTAAGAAAGCTATTTTTAAAAACCATGACTAGGACACATGTGTCAAATATCTTCTTGGCAGGATCCTGATAGGCATTAATTTCTGGGCATAGTTTGCAGTTGATGGCAAAAATGATAGTTAAATATTTAATTTGTTTGGGAATTTTTCCCAAGGACATTATTACAGGATCACTTATTGGTGCTATAAAAATTTTATAATTCAAGGAGTGTTTGATGTGTCGAAGACATATAGTAATGTTAATGCCTCCCAACCCTCTAACAACTCCTCATCTTTAATGTTGAGTTTGCTTCATGAGTCCTTGTGAGGAGTAATATTCTTGGCAATGATTGTTCATTAATACAAACAGGTTGTAGGAAGAGTATGCTTCCCATCAAAAACTAAGCTGTAATCAGAGACTAAGGCAGTGATTAAAACTTAAGCAGTACCCTGATACTGGACGGAATCGTAAAGTGGATGTATTACATTCAGCATTCTCCCCCTCACTTTTAGAGCCATCCATCTCCCTCACATATCCATTTCACCCTTATGCCCTTCCCCAAGTCCCAGCTGCACTCTAGGTACTCAGAGCTTCCTGACTCATTTCAAACACCACTCGGTGTGTCAGGTACCAACATAGCATAATTTGAATCCTTTCTGAATCTCTGCCGTTTCACCCATACCTCCCACAATCCAAACTGTGATTGCTGTAGAATTTCATCAGAAGACTTATGGGCACACGTAATTTGTCTGCACAAAGTCAGGGTTCTTAAGTCTCAGTGATAAAGTTCTGTGGGCATAAGATGAGTCAGGGTCCATCACATGATGCTATTTGTTCAGTCTTACTTGGATCTACTCACTAAACAACTCATCTTCAACAGAACTGAGGGTGCAGAGGGGAGCCGGTTAGAGAGAAAAGTCAAATCAGAAATGAGGAAGGGGTAGAAAAGCGCATATTTAGATTGAAAACTAAAGATTTTTCTTTTTGCATTGATTTTGCATTTAGTTACAACATTTATTTTCAAATAACATTAAAGAAAAACACAAAATTTCTCTATTTTCTAAAGGGGAACCTGAGAAATATTGCGTTGTCCCTGATCAAAAGTAATATTAACAATGTCTAGACTATTTGCATGTGTTTCTCTTTAGTTAAACAATAAATTTACTCATTTACAACTACCTCTGATTGTCTTTCCCCCATTTTACAGTGATTAAAAATTATAATTAATAATTACATCTGTTTTACTTAGCTGTCTTTGACATTATTTGAAAGTGAATACAAAATTTCTGGGAGAAATAAGAACAGAAACATGGGCTGATGTAGGAATGCACACAATCTCCAGATTTTCATGATTCCTCCTTTCATGGTGAGATTTCAGGCATGGAATTGGTCTTGGGCAATATAAATTTTGGCAACATATGCTTGTAGTTCTCTTACTATATCAAACTGTCTCACACTTATGGTGTCAAATATATTCTCGACTCACTTATATCAGTAGTTGCTAAAAATTAAGTCCCACGCCTTGGGATGATATTAGCAGGTCCATGACAAGAAGTGTAACACGAGTTTTTCATGATGTTAATTTTATGTATTTTGACTGTCCTTAATAATGGTATCCTCCTCCTTCTTTTTAATGTTGAAATAAATCCCTCCTTTATGAAACAAATGGTGACAGATGGTAATTGTTTTAATGTGTGCTTAGTGTTCCTAATTTAACAAAATAGAAAGATGGAAACCTTGTTTCTTTACTCATTTTTTTCCACTAGAGGACAGATTTTACTCCTATTGGAAATCCAAAAGTCTGTGACCAATGTTCTATATATTCTCTGCTTCAAATGTTGTTTTCTGGGAGGTGACTGAATCAGACTAAAACCGGGAGACAAAAGGACAGAATTACAAAGACGTTTTTCCAGTTGTAAGCTGGTGTTTCCAGTTGCAAACTATTCGATAATAGCACTTTTTTTTTTGACTGAAAAGATGTTTCTGAATTGAAAAGGCCAGAGCTTCTGAGCAAATTTAGAAAGCATTTTCTTCATCTACCCAAAAGGCTTTTAAGAGCCTGTCTTACTTCTGGGCTGTTCACTGTGACTTCAAAGTAATAATTTTCAGAGTAATAAATCAGTCTGTCTTCTGAGTGATCAGTTTTTTTCTTTATTAGGAAATCTGAGGTTAGCTAGAACCCAGCTATAGAATGTAAGACAGAAAAAGGAGGAAAAGCCTGACAATGTGAGGAAATACTTAACCATTTCAATATGTGTCCTTAACCATTTATACACACTTCTTAACAGCAGAAAGCTGGGAGGATGGTGTCTGCAAGAAAAAATGTGTCACTAAATGCCCGTCAGTTTATTATCATCAGTAAAATTTCATCATTGTACAAAATTTTATCGTTATTCTTTGCATTTACTTGTTTCCTCTCCAATTCCTTCTCGCCCGTTTAGAATTCTTAGTTTGAAGTCCCGATATTCTTTAAAGGATCTAACTGAAAAAACTTTTTGTCATTTTTAAGGACGGAGAATAGTCAGCATTTTATACTTTTTTAAAAAAAAAGTTGTAGATATGGACTTAAGCTTCCACATCAATACATAGTTTTGGAAAATTTTGTAAAAAACACTGCTTAGGCACTCTAAGGATAGAATTCCAATATAAATGTCAATACCTACCTATTATAAGTTTTCAAAAATAGTTTTTGTAAAACAGCAAGTCAATTTTGTGAACAGAGTTCAAATATTCCTTGATCTGTCCCATTCATAAATATCTTTTTTTCTGTTCTTTCCCTCCTCCTCCTCCTTCTCTCTCTCTCCCCCTCCGTTTTTGGTTTTTTTTTTTTTTTTTTTTTTTCTTTAATTCTTCCCCTCGCCTCTCCAGCCTCTAGTTTAGTTCCCTTTAATTGGTTTCTGATTTAGTGAAGGTACGCCTCCCACCCAGTCTCAGCAGTCTGGTTCCCCTTGACCCCATGCCATTTCTTCCACGATCCCTGGCTGTCTCTGCATGAGACTGTCCTGTGCTCCACCAGAGGGGCGGGTCGCGACACACTTGCCGAGGTGGCGGGACGCGCACAGAGGGAGGGGCCCGAGCTGCTTCAGAGAGGCGGTGGGAGCTGAGGTTGGCCTGAAGCCTGGAGGCGGGAGGTGGGCGGAGGGCGCCTCTGGGGTGGCTCGGAGGAGAGAGCAGCCCCAAAGACACTCGGGGGAGGAGCTGCTTCCAGCGGGCGCAGCAGTCACCCGGGAGCAGTTCGCGGGGACCCGGTGTGTCTGAGGGGAGCTCCTAGGAGCTTGGCTGGGGCTCGGAGTGGCGGCGGCGTTGAGGGGCCCGGATCTCACGGGCCCTGGGGACACATCAGGCTGAGGCGTGGCGCCGAGCCCCAGCGCGGTTTCTGGCGGGTCACGACGGGGAGCTTCTGCATCTCTTAGCTTTCGCTACCCCAGCTTCTCTCGGCTCCATTCAGCCCCGAAATTGCAGCCGCCGGAAGGACGACTCCGAGAAGGAGAGCGTATACCCCTGGGCCTACTTCTCCTGACGGTGGTGGGGTTTGCTCAGGGCCACAGAGGCGCCGAGGACTGACCCATCTCGCCAGGAGAGGGCTGGAAAGTGCGAGAGAACCCGGCAGGGCGCGAGCCGCCGTCGGGGCCCCGAGGCGAGGGCGCTGCGCTCGGCTGTAGATTCCGGGACCCTGGCGGTGCCTGCGTTCCTCTCGCGCTCTCTCTGCTCATCCGCCAGGTGTGCCAAGCCTTATCTCCACCACCCAGCCCCTGGGGCAGCCTCCTCTGTGCGACCTTCTGCTTTTGTTTCTTAAGATCCCCCTCCCCGCTCCTCCCCCGGAAGGGCTGGCACACTACAGGTGCCAACCATTGAGGGCTGAGGACCAGCGGTCTCCACAGAGAGCTGCGCCTAGAAGAGAAGGAGACTGATACGGCTGGGACCCGAGCTGCCTTCTGGTCCCAGGGCCCCCATGCTTCTGCCATGGTTAACAGGACTAGGGGCTGGAGTGGTCTTCCTGCACTTCCTGCAGAAACTTCTCTTCCCTTACTTCTGGCATGACTTTTGGTACTTGCTGAAGGTGGTACGCTATGGAATTTGGCTGGAGATGTGCAGACTGAAAGGGGAGCTTGTCACTGTCCTGGATAAATTCCTGAGTCATGCCAAGAAGCAGCCCCAGAAACCTTTCATCATCTACGAGGGAGACACCTACACCTATGAGGATGTGGATAAAATGAGTAGCAGAGTGGCCCATGTCTTCCTGAACCATTCCACGCTGAAAAGGGGGGACACCGTGGCCCTGCTGATGAGCAATGAGCCAGACTTTGTCCACGTGTGGTTCGGCCTGGCCAAGCTGGGCTGCGTGGTGGCCTTCCTCAACTCCAACGTTCGTTCCAACTCCCTCCTGCATTGCATCCGTAGCTGCGAGCCCAGGGCCCTCGTAGTGGGCGCAGGTAGAGTATGGGGTGTGGTCTGCTTGTGCAGAATGGCGACCCTGCCCTTGCCACCGCCCTCCTTTTTTGTTAGAACAGTCCACGACTAATACTTTGAGTGTGTGATGAAGTGTCCATGTTAAAGGTACAAAATAATTTTGCAGTTCTATGACTGGTGGTTTAATAACCCCTCTCCTACTTCAATTACTTATTCTGTGGCAGATTAATAAATACCAAGACTGCTTCAGAAAACTTTCCTGAAATCTCTGCTTCTTACTCTTCGGGGGGGGGGGAGGGGGAAGAGTTTTTGTGTTGTTGGGGTGGGGTGCAGTTTTACTGTTGCTGATACTTCGCTGAGTGTAAGAACAGAGACAGAACTTGGTAAGTCCTACATTTTGTCAGATCTGACAGAATTATTTGATGAGTAGGGAAGTTACCTTGATTCCATTGTGGAATACCTACCTGCCTCTTATAGTAACACTCTGAAGGCTGGCTACGTTTGCAGAACACATATGTTTAATGCACAGGGCATGAATTCCTGTCTTCCTATCTGCTCTTGTTTTGCACTGCCTGCAGCAAGCTAGGATTTGCCTAGCAAAGTTGGGCTCCCACCTGCCAGCCAGTGGGCGGGCTCTTGGCAGACTTTAGGCCTCTTTCTTTCTCTTCCTCCACCTCCATTTGTGCAAAATTTTCTTTCTTTCAGTAACTTCTAGCCTTCTAGCCCTCCCCTTGGAGTTAGGCTTTGGATACACATTTTTGACAGAGAACTACAAAGAGAAGTCTTTGGTTGAGTGCCTACTTACCAAGGAACCTAGGAAGGTGGGTGGCATAACAAAGTGGAATTGAAGTATGTAAAGTGATACTTATTTGGTATAGTCTAAGTGGTTTATGCCTATTCTTCTTGCATGGGGGTAGGAAGGTGGAAAATGAGAAGGACCCATGGCAAAGACATTAGTGAAAATATTTAGGTATTTTAGATTAATAGATACATACTGACACCACATATAGAGTTTTGAGATTCACAGAGCAGTATGGAAAAATAATCTACATTTATACACCTGTGATCTCTAAAGTATAGAACTTTCCAGGTCACCTTGATCATTTAATAATTGCACATCACACAAAAGTGAGTAGGCAATATACAGTAAAAAGGTTGGTTATTCAAGGCTTTCACTTTTGCTTGTTTTCTTCTTCTAGCTCAATTTGTGACCTGATAAAGTACCAAAATATTTACTCTGAAGCACTGATTTTATCTTATTTAAGCTATAGAGTGAAGAAGCCAGAAAGCCTCTCTCGTGTATTTTTTGTTTATTTTTTTTTTCATTCAACAGTCATAACCTCCAAAATTGAAATTCAACCTCTCACCTTGGAAAGAGGTTAACTAGTGCCATGAAATTTCTCTGAACTATAGCAGTAAGCAAAATAAATGAGTCACAAAGAATTTTGATAACATGGTGAAACAAGGTTTACCACCTGTGTAGGGGCAAGTGATAACATGAATGTGGCAGGAAAAAACATCACGGTTCATCTCTGGATATATTCTGACCTTTTATTCTACTTCCATATTATTGCTCAGTCTAATGTAGATTGCAGTTTCTAGAGCAAATATAAACCTGAAATTGTGGTAAAAATTGAGAAAGCCATAAATTCTCTTTCAAGGAGCACACTAAGAAGGCCCCAGTAGCCCTGAAAAGATTTCCGTGCCCATGATGTTGAAGGCAACCTGAGAAACATGCCCTAGCTGATCTTCTGAGGGATTCCTCTTAAAGTGCATAGGGCTGGTTACCTCCCCAAACAGAGCATTCAAACTCTGCTGTTGACTGAGTTGTTGCCTCATTAGGACCAATTAATTTTGCAGTTTTACTTATGCCAGCTTTTGCTTTGCTTGCCAATAACTAATTGCACTGTTTCCTTGTTTTTAACACCAACAGTCAGTTTTTGTATATAAAAGCCATGTTGGGATGCTGGAGTTTTAGGCCAAAACCGTTTAGTCAATTTGCTCAGTAAGTTAAAGGCAGCTGGAGAAATCAACCTTAAATCTTACTAGCAGTTCTTTTTAGCGTACCTCTAAAATACATGAATTACATCTGTTTTTCAAAGATGAGACCATTCTGTTTGAATTAATTACTATATTTGTTTAGTAAGACATGGCTTAGATCACAGCCGCTTTTCTGTATTTGAAGCTCTTACCCTGAAATACTGTATTCTTGGCATCTTGAGTCTTATCAGTGAATAATATATATGTATAGTTTTTAGAACTTTAAACTTCAGAGCTCTTAGCTTCTCGTTGGGTATTTCTCACAGATATGTACTATTAAATCATTATATCCCCAGGGAGAGTGTATTGAAGTGGCAAGACCGCTCAAGTGGTTTAGACAGGAGAAGGCAGACAGATCTGGATTTCGTTTATAGTCTGCCACTTCTTAGCTGTGTGACGAAGATAAGATCAATTACCCTGGGTCTCACTTTACTTAGTTGTAAAATGGTGCTAATACCACCTAAGTCACAGTGTAATTCTGAGGATTAAATGAGGTAGCTTTTGTAAAGCGGCTAGCTGCGTTCTTGGTATGTACTAATTAGATCCTTGGTGAATTGAAATAATTGCTATTATTATTATAGAGACATCTGAGGCATTTAATAAGGGATCTCATGTGGATTTTGCTGCTACAACCTAATTTGGTGTTAGCTATAAGAAAGTCATTTATTTGGAATAGCATCTTGAACGCTTTTATGTTTTAGCAAAATTTTATTTTTCAGAAGTTATATAGAACCAGTTTCAAACAGATTTTACAGGCAAGCCAGATAACATCCATGGCGATAGATGAAATTTCAATTATGGCAGGTGTCTGATAATTCTGTCTCCAGGAACAAGTCAAAGGAAAAGAAATCAACTAAGCCACCAGGCAAATGTTCTTCTAGCTGTTATTGTCATTAACAAAAATATCAACAGTTGCCATTTACTCAAGGCTGACCATGGAAAAGGTACCTCCAATGATTCTGAAAGGCAGGTACTGAGTGATTTTTTGGAAACCGAGGGGGAAAGAAATTCATGTGGGGTGTCTATCGTGTCACAACATAGCAGGTTGCAGAGCAAAGATGCAAAACCTGGTCTCTGATATAAGAATCTATGTACTATATAGTCCAGTTGTTTCTGGGGCTGCCAATCCCCTTTTGATATAACTATGAAAAAAATATGCAGTCCAGTATATAAAAATAGTAAAATAAAAATTGCTATTATTAAGACATCAGGTTTTTCATACACGAATATCTATAAAAATATTACAATGTTTATAAAACTATTATTCCTTTCTCTCATAGTCTGAAGACTCAAAAATGATGGCAAAGAAGTTTTATATCTGTGTAATTGGTTTAGAAGATGTGTCAAGCAGCATCTCAAATTTCCCTGGAAAATTTCAGCACTTATTGAAAATTAAATCATCTTAGATTAAACTTATAGCCCTTTCCTCCCAATATTTCAACTCTGATATTTCTAATAGTGCCTGCTGCCCAGATTATCATCTACCTATATATGCTTTTCTCTTAGAACAAACAGAAAAATGTTGAGATGCTTGTACATCATTTTTAAAAGTCTATTTAATTATATCCTTTGACATATTTAGCCATAATAATAATGTTAATCGTAATCATAATCATAATCCCTCCCATTTTTAAAGTACTTTAAATTACAAAGTGTTTTTACACATATTATTTTATATGATCTTCACCACAGCCATGGCCTTTTTTAAAGATGAAGAAAGGGGCTGGCCCTGTGGTGAAGTGGTTAAATTCGGTGTGCTCTGCTTTGGCGGCTGCGTTCGGGGGTTTGGATCTGGGTGCTGACCTACACCACTCATCAGCCATGTTGTGGCAGATGCCAAACAAAACAGAGGAAGATTGGCACCGATGTTAGCTCAGGGCTAATCTTCCTCAGCAAAAAAAAAAAAAAAAAAAAGATGAATACAGCATTGTTTAGAGTGGGCAAGTAATCTCCTCAAGCTTATACATCTGGGAGAGGCAATGTGGGGACTGGACCTGGATTTTCTGATGCTAAATGATAAAAGCCTGTTGGGGACAGCTTTGTCTTTGTCTTCCTTTCTGCTACTGTTCATTCCCTCATCTCCATCTTTTCCCTTCCTTTCCTCTTCATTCCCCCTCCTTTCCATTAAATCCTCCTGCTTCAAGTGTGCTATTGCTATTCATAGCGACCCAATAGAATGGCAAAGCTCTGTTTGCTAATTCGCAAATAGGTATGTGCGTGCCTTTGAGAACAGGCCAAGAACTTGGATGAAACTCTTTGAGCTGAGGAAGTTTGTTTTGTTCACTGCTAAATTCTCAGCACTTATCACAAAGGAGATGCTCAATAAATATTTATTACCTGGATGAATGAGTAAATGAATGAATGACCTAATAAAAAAACTATGCAGTACATATGGGCATTCAGTAACTTTTTATTTCCTTGCATATTTTTGCTAATAAACTGACCCTCTTCTGTCTGTTTGGTAAATGAATTTGACAGTAGATCTATCAACAGAATTTCTTTGTTGTGTCATTTTATATCCATGTTGCTAAGTATTAGAATCATAACTCCCCAAAAGTCTAAAGTGTTCTAGACACACTAAGCATCCACGAGATTTCAATCTGCTTGTAGTTTTTGCACTCTCTGCTTTCTCAATATACCACATATTAAATCATTGTAATCGTTATAAGTGGACAACCAAAAAATATATACTGATACTATCCTGAACTCTTTTACTTTAAACTCAATAGTATTTTGTGTCTTAACATGTTTGGAAGGGTTTTGTGTTTCTGTTCACAAGAAGTAAAAATCCTGTGTCGGCTCTGTAAACTGTCGATAATGTGTGCAGCCTTGCCCTGTTAGTTTTCATGAACTGTTGCGTTCAGACTGTGCAGGGCAAATGTTCCAGTTAACAATCGAGCCATTGTAATTCCCCAAATGACTTTCAACTCTAAAGCCAGCTGCTTTTTACAGACCAAGAGGAAGAGTTAGAGGAAAAATAAAGACTCTTTAAGTTTTATAGAAAGTAATATGTACTCAGAAAGATAAGACATGGCTCATGTGAACTTTTATTACTTTATCCGTGTACTATGATATTCTCATAAATATCTATTTTCAGGGCATTTCTATATTTTTACTTGGAGTTAGTAGAATGAATGAATGTTTTGCTTTTTTTATCTTTTTTTTTTTTTTTTTTTTACCATTTCAGACTTTTAGGTCAAGAATTACATCCATTCCAAAAGAAAGTACCTGATTTCAATATTAATTGGTTTCAGACTTCACTAGGGGGAAAAGGCAGTGTTCTAAGCCCTGGTGCATGCATGGCTTTTTCTGTACTGACCATGGCCCTGGAGTTCTTACTTACAGTGTTTGCGGAACATGTGTTTACTGTAAGGGAATGATGCTTGAACACAGGCAGGAGCAAAAATCATCATGTCATGAATTGCTTTAGGACCTTGCTTACTTAAGCATCAATTTTCTTAGAAAGAATAGCCTGCCCATGAATTCTATGGAAAACCTGTTGAGGTGCTCTCAGTAGTGGGATGGTAGTTATAAGCATATGGTGAGATTTATAATTTCACTATGGGAAGCTCAAGTTAACCATTTGTAGTTGAATTTCATGTTAGTTTTATTAATACATAAAAGTTTAAAGTTTAAATGTTTGCCAAAGTATTAAGTACCTTTGAAAATATTAGCTTGTTTTATGTAGAATAAGATAATTTAAAGAGTTTTTAATGCATTATGAATATCTAATTCACACTAATGGCATATTAGAGGGATATAGTAAATCTTTACTTATTGATTTTTTAGTTTCAGAAATGTGAATAAGAGATATAATAATGATGCAGAAACAAGCAAGTAATTTGTACAAAAAGTGCTAAAGGATCATAAACAGAGATCATAAATTATCTGTTTTTATGCTTGCAACCCCACCTAATGCTGAGCCTTGCATGTAAGAGAAACAGTATTTCTTGGGAGAAACTATTGCTTTGAAAAGAGAGATTGAGCCTTCTCCTGTAATGTAGACTTTGTTAAGATCATCGAGCATTCCAGCTGTCTCGTTTTCTTATAGTAGTTACTGTCCTGAGCTGTGTCTACAGTGGATCCCATGGGCAGAGCTCAGTTATGTAACCAGATATCTACCCAGCACCTCGTGTGTGCCAGGCACAGTCAGCCGAAGGATGGAGCAGGACACACATCATTCCTTTGAAGTACTTACGATTCTACAGGTTTCAATGGTAGAACACTTACTAAAGAGTAAATCTTCATGAAATACAACCAAGATTCCGTGAGGTATTTAAACAAATGCTATTTTGTGTCAGGGCTTCATATTCAGAATTTACTGTCAAAATGACACTAAAACTTTTCATTTTATTAACAAAGATTGACAGGGATAAGTAAACAATGATTTTTATCCCCTACAAGACTTTTCAAATTTTTATTTCAATTTTCACTGTCCTCACCCACATTTCCTACTGCTAATGGAGAAATAATTTGGTTAGATAAAATTTTATTTGAGAATTCTAAATGTCTTAGTTTGTCAATTTAATTTTAATATATGAAGGAAATTAAATTGTATCTCCTCTGATTCCTAGGACTCTACTCATTTCCCTTTTCTTGTAAAAGTCATCACTCTTTGTAAATACTCAGTGTTTTTTTAGACTCTACAATTCCAACAAACATTTGGGGCCACAATCAATCATATTGTAACTTTCTTTGCATTTATTTTTCCAATTTAGACATACATACATATTAAAGTTTGTGCTGTTAATTTATAATTCCAGATGAGAGATTTGAAATTAAGGTAATGAAATGGAGTCAGTTCAGAGACTTGTACTTATACATTCGAAATGCCAGACAGAGTCCTTACAACAAAATCCGGTACTAAAAATTTAAAAGAAAATAGAAAATCTAGATCATTTGCTTGTTCTGCATGTTCATCTGTTTCTGACTCGTCCTTCCCCCAGCATTCCTTGTGATTTTTCACTTCTCCTTCTTAACCAGAGCAATCTGTACACAGCAGCATGCTGTGTATGCTCAGTGGAACTAGATATTTCCTCTGGACGTTTACTTTATTTGGATTTTTTACAAAAATAAAAATTAATTCAAAAAATTTCAAGTCCCAATCTGCCTCCCCAACCCCAACTTATCAACTCCTCATCATTGTTTGTGTTTCCTTAGTTTCCTTGCAGGTTTTATTTGTCAGCTGCCTAGTCCCGTTTGACATATTTCTCTAGCTGCTTCTTTGTGATCAGTCTGGGTTATAGATTTTGAGGAAGTAAATCATGAGTTTTTCTCAAACGTATTGTATTTAGTAGAACTAAACAGTGGCTGACAGATGGCTTTTTGAGGTAACCAGACACTGATTTACATTTCCAGGGAAATGTTTAATGCACTGCCCTGAATTTAGCTTCAAAGCAGAATATATCTTGTGATTATTTTTAAAGTTTTGTTAAAAAATTAGAAAAAAATATAATTGTTTAGATGGAAATGTCTATATTTACATGTGCTTGAGCATTCTGACCAGGGTATATTCTACATTTAATAACATTTTTTATAAGGTAATGTATAGATTTTAGAGTTAATTAGATTTGGGTTAGAGTAACAATTCTACTGTCCGCCAACTTGTGACTCTGTTGTATTCACTTCCTAGGGCTGCTATAATAAAGTCACAATATGGGTAGCTTAAAACAACGGAAATTTATTCTCTCACAGTTCTGGGGGCTGAAAGTCCAAAATAAAAATGTCTGCAGGGCCATGCTCCCTCTGAAGCATCTAAGAAAGAATCCTTCCTTGCCTCTTCCTAGCTTCAGGGTTGCTGGTAATCTTGGGTATTCCTTCCATTATCTCTAAAAAGCCAGAGGGGTATTATTGCTTAATATCCCCAAGGATGTTAATATAGATTTTAAGATAATAACATAGCACTCAGAAGTCCCTGAAATCTTAGAAAAGTAGGACATATTATAGGAATATGAAAATACAACTGGGACATGCATGTAGAGTATAAAAGTTGACCTTACTGTTAGAGATCCACGTTAAAGTAAAGGAATGTTAAATTTTAAAAGAACGGAAAGAATGTAAGTAACTGTTTATCTCTGTACTCTGGAAGAAACAAAAAAAAAGATGCCTCACTCATTTATACAAAAGACTCCTCAGGAGTGATGATGCTCTGCTCCTTTGGCATCCCATAGAGTGCCAGATACCTTAATACTTAATATCTCCTCCTCAAGGACCCACACCCCCCTTTGCTCTCTGTTTTTCTCTACCACTACTCAAATGACATTTTCTCCTACATTGATGACCAAATTAAGAAGGTCTAGTTCAACCTCCCAGATTAACTCTGTTTCGTCTCACCTCCAGTTGCCCTTTTGCTATCTGGACAGTAGATGCGTCCTGAGAGAAGTCTCCCTTTCACTTTCTAAAGCCTGAATCTCCACCCAGACCCTTGGTCTTGTGAGGACCCCTAAGTTCTTCAGGCCTGAGGACACCAATGTTTCAGGCTTTTTTATTCCCCTGCCTTCTTTTTTGCCTGACATTCGTTCTGTGACCTGGAACCAGGCAAGGAAAGGATTACCAAGAATCTCATCGGCAACTAACGTGGGCTGTCAATGTTTTCCAGATAAGGAGAAGCTAAATGTTCTGTTTTTCAGAAGTCCACGTCCTGGTTTTTGCAGATGTTGCCATCCTGCAGTGAAACTTACACTGGTACAGCAAGATTCCGGCAAATTGCTCCGGTTCCAAGTGTCCAAAAGTTAGCATGGACTTGTTATGTAATGGCAGGTTACATTGAACTCGTTATGCAATGGCCTGCTTACCTGCTGCACATGTGCCCTGACTGAGCACAGCTGTTACACAGTTGTAACAGATCCTCTTCACTCTTGTGTATAAAGTCTCCACTGGCGCTCAGTTAGGGGAGAGACTGCTTTGGGAGCTATCCTCAGTGTTCTCTATTGCTTGTGTGAGCAATAAACCTGTTCTTCACCCACTTCAGCCTTGGTTGTGCTTTTTGGCTCCACACCCACCAAGAGAGGGAATCCCTTGACTTCAGTTACAGTTCTAGCTGGGCCTTGCATCCCAGTGCTGCTGGCAGAGGTCCTGCTCTCATCAGTCCACTCTCACCTGCTATTGTTGTACCCTGCTCTGCACTGTGGATCTTATTGCCATTTCTGGAAGGCATTCTTTTTCTCCTTTTCCTTTCAAAAACTTTTACCTTTAATTATTCTGATCAAGGGAAAAGGACATCCATAAATCTCCCCACTTAACTTTTGGCTCTGAAGTGGTCTCTAAGCCATAATGATCTTATGATTCCAGAGTGGTCAGGGGATTCTCCTTAATGTACTAAATTATAGTTAAACTATAATGTCACCATCACAATAGTGAAAAACAGATGGCTTTTTCGAATAATGAGCTACTGAGTTGTATTTCAAGGAAAACGTTTAGTTCAGTATCCTGAATTTAGATTTAAAACAGAGCATAAAAATGGAGTTTTATTTAAAAATTGGGAAAAAACATAATCTGGATAATGGAGTCTCCAAAATTCAATTAGAATTTATCTATTTGCATTGATTAAATCAGGTGGTAACCAGATGTCCCTTTCAGTTGGTCCTGTTAAAACAGAATCATAAAATGGTTGTGACTTACTCGTCCAACATGAAAAGGAAATCAGCATTGTATTTAGATTTTATCCCTATTCCAACAACAAAAGAGAACACAGGTGAATGGTTTGAGATTTATGTTTTGTTTACCTATTCCTAATCCTTTGTTTTTTAGATTTGCTTGGAACTATAGACGAAATCCTTCCAAGCCTCCCAGAAGATATCAGTGTTTGGGGCATGAAAGATTCTGTCCCACAAGGTGTACTTTCACTCAAAGACAAACTGAGCACAGCATCTGACAGGCCAGTGCCACGCAGCCACCATGTTGCCTCAAGCCTCAAATCTCCTTATCTTTACATTTTTACTTCTGGAACCACAGGTATGATCCATGTCTTCTTAAGACTTAAAAAGCTTGCAACATATTTACAAAACAACAGTGTTGGGGAACTTTCTGCCATGCAGAGTCACCAAACACCTGAGAAAGCTTGCATCCAAGTAAACCTGAGTTACTTAGATCTTGGAATTCTGAAACTTAGATGAAAAAGTTAATTGCTTTAACTTGGCAAGTCAATGTGCACTGGGCCACTGTCTCATTTGGAAAAGATTTTCTTCAAATTTGGTGATACAAAGGGCACTGGAATGTCTGAAGACTTTAACCCAGCCCACAGTGCTCATGGGTTCACTTGGCCATTGTCTCACTTGGAAAAGATTTTCTTCAAGTTTGGTGATAGAAAGGGCACTGGAATGTTTGAAGACCTTGACCCAGCCCACTTGCTCAGAGTGTGAAACATGTGACAAACAGGGTCTTGAAGGCATTGCAGGTTTGGGAGAAGGTACCAAATAGAATCAAGTAACTAAACTTTCCTTTTCTTAGGTAAGCAACAAAAATACACATGCACGAAGAATAATGAAACTGCCTGAAAATTCAAAAGAAATGTTAAACTTAATTGATTCTTAGGAAAAACTGAATGGTATTTATGGTAGGCTAAATAAGCTTTGGTAATTAGTTTGAAGATGACTAAGAGTTTGAATTAGACATTAAAAATATTCTATTACTAATTTCCTGTGCACAGGTAGTATTGTAAGCAAAACTACTACTATATAAGTAAAGTTTTCTTACTGTTTTTTCTTTTTTACTATTTGGAGTCTTACAGTGATCTCTTTTAGACTGGAGAGTAGACTTTTTTTTTTGAGGAAGATTAGCCCTGAGCTAACATCTGCTGCCAATTGTCCTCTTTTTGCTGAGGAAGATTGGCCTTGAGCTAACATCTGTGCCCATCTTCCTCTATTTTATATGTGGGACGCCTGCTACAGAATGGCTTGATACAGGGTGTATAGGTCCACGCCCGGGATCCAAACCTGCGAACCTCAGGGCCACTGTTGCGGAGTGTGCGAACTTAAGCTCTGTGCCCCTGGGCTGGCTCCATAGACTATATCTTTGACTTACATGTAGCATAGCGTTTTGATAAGTGAGTTGGAAAATGCTAATATGTATCAAGTTGTCAACAAAAATTCAGTCTGACTTCAGACTTTGAAAGAGACTGTAAAATTTTAGAAATGATGTGCTTCGAAAACTTTCAACAGAAGGTACTTAACCAAGTTGACTTTATGGCTGTTTTCTTATGAAAAATAGAACATGACTCTGGCATTCAAAACAATCTTCACTACTCCCCCCTCCTGGCCACCCATCTCCGCAGCTTGGAGAGAACAAGCTGGAGCAGACCATTAACGGCTTTTGTTCTTCAAGCTTAAACCAGAGTGTTTCATACATTTGTACAACAGGCTGAAAGCAAAAGCACTACTAATTTTTTTCATTTGATATTTATTGGTATTAAAATTATACTGCACAGAGATGAAAAATTCTAATAGTTTTAGAAATTTGAGAGAAAAGTATCCTGCTGACCCTCCTATTTCTCCTTCCCCAAACCATCAACATTCAGTATTTTTAGATCTTTCTTTTTATAATCACTTCCATGTTTCTTAATAGAATGAGTATCCTCCTAGATACTTAACAGCTACTTACTAAAAAGTATCTGCTGGGGCTGGCCCCGTGGCCGAGTGGTTAAGTTCGCGCGCTCCGCTGCAGGCGGCCCAGTGTTTCATTGGTTCGAATCCTGGGCGCGGACATGGCACTGCTCATCAAACCACGCTGAGGCAGTGTCCCACATGCCACAACTAGAAGGACCCACAATGAAGAAGATACAACTATGTACTGGGGGGCTTTGGGGAGAAAAAGGAAAAAATAAAATCTTTAAAAAGTATCTGCTGATTTCCCCTGATGGAAGATGATTTTGTCTTCTTTTATCATCACTCTCTCTCTCCACTCATTTCTTTCTCTCTGATGCAGACACTTTCTCTCCCCAGCTTGATTGGCTTGATTGGTGTCAGCATCATAACTTAGTAAACACTGTTGCTAGCTGAGCTCAATAGTATAACTAAATTATATTTATTTCCTTTCATGTAAAAATACCTCCAACCTGGAATTAATCATTGTTTTTGTTTGTTTCCTTGCTTAGTTTTCTATACACCTATAACTGATTCATACCCACCCCTTTGTAAAGAAGGTAACTCACTTTTGACGTTGAAAAGATAGTCTGTATTCTGTCAAGCCCATGTTCTTGGCCACCTCTTTTCCAGAGTCTTCCTCCCCGTTATTTCAGTCTTGACCAGTTGTTCTACTGTCCTGGGTTCATTCTTCACCATTTCCTGGGAATTCCCTTCAACTTTTTTTTTTGTTCTGATCCCCTGATTCCTAGCTCCTAAATTAGTTTCCTTGGTTTACTTTTCATTTTATCTCAGCACTGCTTTTAATAGCTGTCTGATAAAAGAGAATTTGGGAGGTGAGTTTTTTTAAGTCTTTACATATCTGAAAATGTCTTTTTCTACCCTTACAGTTGTTTGTATAGGATTCTGGGTTAGAAATTATTTTATGCAGAGGTTTGAAGGCATTGCTGTATTATCTTCTGACTTCCACTATCCATATTGAGAAGTCTTTTTCTTTCTGATTTCTTATCCTTTATGTGCAACCTGGTGTTGTTTTTCTCTCTATGTTTTTTGGGGATTTTTAGAACCTTCTATGAGTCTTCAGTAGTCTATAACATCATGATGACTTTTATTGAGACTGGTCTTATTTATCCATTTTTCTGGGAAATTTATAGGCCTTTTCAGTCTAGAAATTCATATTGTGCAATTTTAGGTACTGGAAAATTAAAAGAAATTGTTTTCTACATCCTCTTCTTTATTTATGTTCTTTCTGCCCATTCCATCTTTCTATTACACTTGTTTGTTCATTCTTTTATCTGTGGAACTCTAACTTTTTGAAGGTTAGCCCTCCTGGACTGAATTATTAAGCTTCTAATCTTTCCTATTCCATTTTCCTTCTTTTATCTTTTTTTCTGCTGAGGAAGATTAGCCTTGAGCAAACATCCATGCCAGTCTTCCTCCACTTTATATGTGGGTCACTGCCACAGCATGGTTGACAAGTGGTGCACATCCACACTCAGGATCTGAACCATGAACCCGGGCCGCCAAAGTGAAGTGTGCCAAACCCAACCTCTACGTGCCATGGGGTCAGCCCCTTCATTTACCTTTTGATTAACTTTTGAGGAGATTTATCTTCTAACCTTTTTGTTCTCTGAATATTCCTCTTTTTGTAAGATGTTATTTTTGTATTATTGATACTTTCTTGTCTCATTTCTCTCAGAATATTAATGATAATTTTTTGAAAATTTCTTCTATCTTGTCTATATTTTCTCCAGCATCCTTTCTCTTTTGGTTTATATTGGTCTCTTGTCTTTTTTCCTAGAGGATTTCCTCAAGTATCTGGTGACCTTTGGCAGTCAGTTTATATTTGAAGTGCAGACATGAAAACACAGCAAAAACAAACCAAATCCTGACTAGAAGCTCTGTGTGCCTGAGTGGGACTTGTGGACTGGTTGGTTTCAGTGTCCAGGAGGTTGTGTTTAGGGATTCATGACTGTCAGTGTCTTTCAGTTTTTACCTGTGGGCTATTTGGATTCCTCAGACAAGGAGCTTGAAGGGTAAGACTAAAATGTTAAAAGGGAGCTGGAGGAGTATGCAGACTTTCTCTTATTCCCCCTATTTATTCAATCTCTCTTCTTCCTGGTGTTTCCAGAGGCTCATCTTTTACAGAAAATAAACCTCAGATCTTCTACCAGTGTGGAAGAAGCAATCTGGGGCTGTAGTTTTGTTTTACTTTATTTTTTGCATTTTAAAACAAATACCAAAAGCATTTGTTGGCATTCTTCCAAAATTGGTTTGTGAATGATCTTACATAGGGAAAGTTATGCAAATATCATCTCCTTTTAGCTTACAGTCCTGAGCAATGTGGGGTCTTGTAGATGGCAGAGCACAGCATCATTCAGAATTGGGCATGCAGTAGATGTGTTGCTTTATGAATATAAAGCTATTGAAGAATGTAACAAAATCACACTGAGGCTCATTAAATCTTTAATTGACATTTTTAATAAAAGACATCTCTCTCTTTCTTTCTCAGTAATAAAAACTGATGTTTTGCAACTCAAAACCCAGAGCTGAATTAAGTGATTATAATGGTAATAAATATGAGAATTTATATTGGTCTGCCACCTAATATAGAAATCACTTGATTCTCACCCACAAAATCATCTTACAATGTTAATAATGAAGGTGTTGGTGCAAGTTAGGACGTGATACACAGAAATGAGTCTTTGAAAAGTTAAATGATTGAAGTAGAGTCTGCTCAGAGGCCTTTCAACAGGTTATAAGGGAGCCTTTTTGATGATAGTGAACATTTCCTAGCCCTTCTTACTACTGCCCAATCCTGTTTGCCCAATGTCACCAAAATATTGTATTCCTGTACCTAAGAATGAACTTAAAGCATCTCTGAGTAAGAAAAGGATTGAAGTCAGTTTTTGTACCATTCATGTCTCTTTGACCTACGAGATTATGTGATATCTAGATGAGCAAAGAGTGAGAGTTATATAGATTCCCTTATCTATGATCTTGATGTAGTTACTTCTTAATCAGAACTTCCATAAAGCTCCGTGATTATAGTTCCATCCTTGTCATCCTATGAGATACCTGGTAATCAAATTTCTGTGCCTTTCAGGGGTTCTGTGGGCACAAATCAGCTTTCTTCAAGGCTTCACCTTAGGTTTCAGCTTCTTGGGTCTGCTGCATAAGTCACCTCGGTTGTCCATCTGCTTTTCTAAAATTTTGTTGCTGTCATTTCTGAGTCCATTCTTTTTGTCTTGAGGGTCTAGGTATCTGTTCAGTCTACTTCTAGTCCTGTTATGGCTCATTGGACTTGGTCAAGTAGCCTTAAGACTCTCTGGAAAAGGTTGTTTAAGCCTGGACAGAGCAGCCATGCATTCAACCACTCCTATAAGGTAGTGGGAGGAGGAAAACAAGGTTAACTGCCTGCTGTGCTGCACCTGGGAGCCTGTTGCTGTCACCATCTAAATCTCTCTTTTTGTCTCTCCCTCTCCTTAACCTTATGGATTTTTTCTTTTTGCCAAAATTATCCTTGAATTTCCCAAATTATTTATCCCTGCCTTTGCATTGGTTGTCTCTTGACATCACCTCTTTCTCCTAATCCCTAATTCATTGGACATTGTCTCATTCCCACCTTTATGCTTTAGACTTCATCCCAATGGTCTACTCACATCTAGGGATATTAGAAGAGTTTCAATGCCAGGAATTCATAGAACATTAGAAGAGAAAAGGACTTTAGAGACAATCTAAGGGAGCATTTCTCAAAATGTGTGTTACAGCATATCCCTTCATGTCTTCAAAGAAATGAAATAAAAGTTGAAAAAGGGCTTTAGTGACCACATAAGTTTGGGAAACACCATTAATAAAAATGCCTAGGTTTCTATACTGCTGGGCTTCTCAAGGGCTTTAATATGTTAATGTGCTTTCTCTTTTTTTTCTTTTTTTGCTGAGGAAGATTAGCTCTGAGCTAACATCTGTGCCAATCTTCCTCTTTTTTCGCTTGAGAAGATTAGCCCTGAGCTAAGATCTGTGCCTATCTTCTACTATTTTATATGTGCGTTGCTACCACAGCATGGCTGACAAGTGGTGTAGATCTGTGCCTAGGATCCAAACCTGTGAACCCAGGCCACTGATGCAGAGTGCACCAAACTTAACTACTAGGCCATAGGGCCATCCTCTCTTTCTAATTCTTTTAAGAAGGGACTCTAAAATGCAGTTTTAACAAATTTCGTTTATTTTCCTGGTTTTTTCCTTCTTTCAAACTTTAAACTCCATCGACCTTTGATCACTTTCATTTGTTGGACAAGCTCATATCTGTTGTCTCCTTTATCAAAAAATTTAACTGTGTACCTTGGATAGTTTATAATAAATTAATGAGATCATTATTCACTTAAAGCTAACCAAATTAGGAAGGAAGGCATGGCTAATTAGTTTACTAAAGTGCTTTGAAGGAGTAACATAAGCGTACAGGTGGAAAATAACTAGATAAAATCATCCTTCATTTTTTGACACACCTCCAAATGAAAAGTTATTTTTTTTTAAAGCTGGGCTGCCATGAGATCGCGAACAGTGTGGGAAGTAGGAAATATGATGACTGAAGAGCCATAGGTGAGAACTTCTTGGAAGCATAAAACATAAATATTTGGTCCTCTGGATGAAGAAGAGAAAGGCATTGCATTATTTAGAATCAAGCCTGGAGTTAGTCTCACTCAAAATCTTTGTACATGGCTCTGACTAGAAAATTTGGAGAGATTCTCTATGCATGTGGATGACAAGAATCTCTTTCAGTTCGTGAGATGCCAAGCTATTGGGAAGAGCTGCAGAGATTTCTTTTGAAAAAATTAATAACTGAATTTTAGTTAGGATAATAGGTAAGATAATGCCAACTTGCATATGAGATCAAGTCTCGTCCAGTTAGCAGAAATGGAGTACAGTGCCTGTCAGAAAATGTCAAAGCAGATGTAGCCACAGGTGGACTTGAGGCTTAGCCTAGTAAGAGTGTCCAGAAGTCACTGTAGACCATGGTTCATAGCTCCATGTGCTGCTGTAACCAGAAACCCTATGAAAACTTTGGCTTTCATAAGGGAAAGATTGATGTCCTATTCTGAGTAAGACAGTGCCCCAGCTGACCGTGCAGTGTGTTAAGTAGTTCTGGTCACTACAGACCACAGAATATATTGTGACACCAGAGAAGGCCTACAAGAGCAAATTGGGGTTTAGTTTGTACAGAATACATAGATCTCGTTGTCTGAGTGGGATATATGTTGGGAGATAAAAACAGCAGCAAGTTTGGGTCAAGTGTCAGTTAGAAGATAGAGCATCATATCAAGGAGGCTGAGTCAAGACAGGTAAATGATCAGTGGCAAGGAGATCCAGGAAGAAATACCAGCCACAGGGCATTACATGTGGCCAGGGCACACCCAGAGAAGCACATAGTAGGCAGTAGGAAATTTTGGCTATAAAAATTGGGACATCAGACATGAGAATGTATTTGAATGTTAGACTCTAGTCTTGGACAATTAGACAACAGCAAGGAAGTACTTCGCTCTGGGAAACACGTTGTCAAGTTTAGAACTCAATTTCTAGAATTGGGAAATAAAGTCAAATCAGGTGCAGAATAAGTTTGCAGAGCCACTGAAGTTAGTAACTCTCCTTTGACAAATGGCTAAGCAGGCCTGTGTAAGTCCGTGCAGTGCAGTCAAGGACCACGCTTAAAGCTTTGCTGTCTGCTCCTCTTCACTCCTGATCCTGCCATTTGCATGCTTCCTGTGGCTTCTCTGCCACTGGTCTCTGCTTGCCTCTGGGAAAACTATGGATACTCCTTGTTACACTGCGCTTTATGAAGCAAAGGAACTTTATTGATGAGTTAGATTTGGGATGGGGCCCTTTACATCAAGACATTCTAAAAATATTAGGACTCTGAACTGACGGACGGCCTATGACTATAATACAGTTTAATCTAACACATTAATTCAAGAGATGATACTTATCGCTGTGAAAACAAGCTGTGTTCCTTGGTAAGGAAATATAGGTTGACATATAAAATTACTGATGTTCAACCATAGATATGGCAATTTCATATTATATTACATATTAACTAGATGAATTTATTATGCTGACATAATACAGAAGATATAACAATATGGAAAATAGGCTAAAAATATCACGTAACAAAAGCAGTATGTAAAACTTTTTATACACTAATCACAACCACAATTTTTTACAAGAAACCCATTGTACATAGAAGGAGACTGGGAGAAAAAAAGAAAACTATTTACCTTTGTATCATGAAAGTATAGAACTATTTCAACATCATGGATCATGGAATCTGATATTCTCTAATGATCTTTTTCCAGAACATATTAAACATAACGAAATCATTGGCTCATAATTGAGACAGACTCTTATTTGGAATTGGCATTGTTCACTAGAAAATTTCTACTTTAAGTATAATTTAGATTTATATTTTGCCTCGTTTTGGGTGTATGCTTTCAGATTTTTGGCATTTTTGGCATTCTTTTAGCTGATATGGCTCTTTGAAGCTTACAGTGTCTTAAATGTAATTTTATGGTTTTGATCCTTCTGGGTAGATCTAAGGTGATAGAAATTAATTAAAGCAGTAACACACATTTGCAAGGCCCCCCCACTTTTTTTTCTTGGTGAGGGACGTTGGCACTGAGCTAACATCTGTGCCCGTCTTCCTCTATGTTGTGTGTGGGGCACCACCACAGCATGGTTTGATGAGCAGTGTGTATGTCTGCACTTGGGATCTGAACTGGCGAACCCCTGGCCACCAAAGTAGAGCATGCAAACTTAACCACTACACCACCGGGCCAGCCCCTGCATGGCCCCTTTTATAAAGCATCTAGAACTCTTTGATGTATTTTGTCTCAATTGCTGTTGTAGTTGATACCAGCACAGACTTGCTTTCTATTACATATAGATTTTTTCCTTGTTTTCTTCCAGGTCTACCAAAAGCAGCTGTGATTAGTCAGCTGCAGGCTTTAAAGGGTTCTGCTGCATTGTGGGCTTTTGGTTGTACTGCTGATGACATCGTTTATATACCCCTTCCTCTGTACCACAGTTCAGGATCTCTCCTGGGAATTGGTGGATGTATTGAATTAGGTAAGTTTTAACTTTCTGTTTGGTAAGTTTTCAAAATGCCTAATAATTAGAACTTGTGTCTGTTAAAGTTTGAAATGCTATCAGAAATCAGGGTGACTGTGTGCTTATTATATAATTATAACATCATATTTATTAAAAGGGCATAATTGCATGATATACTCCATGTATTCCTGAAGTAGAAAGAGCAGTGCCTTAGGAATTCTGCCATGTGGGTGGAGCTGGCTGTTGCCTGGGCTTCCCTCCCATGTGATTGCTCCTTCTTTAGTGATCTACCTTCGCCTCCTTAAGTGGTGGTTGGAGCCTTCCAACAGGGTGAATTTGGAAGCTGCATAGCTCTTAAGGCTTAGTCTCGGAAGTTGTGCAGATCATTTCACCTGCATTTTGTTGATCAAAGTGAATCACAAGCCAGTCCAGATTCAAGATTTGAGGGACAGGGAAATAGACCCCATCTCTTGAAGGGAGGAATGGCAAATTCACATTGCAAAGGTAAGTGCATAGAAGGAATTATTGAGGCTATCTTTGCAAACAGTGTACCTTGTTTGCACCCAATAAGTCAGTTGGTAAAGCTTGTAGTTCAGTAGATTCCATTCGGCAACAGGCTGAGGTTCTGTCTGTTACTAGCTAGCCCTGAAATAATATATAAATAGAAATCTTTCAATACTATTTGTGTGTGTCTAAAATACTATAAAGTAATTTTAAAGAATAGTATATTTAGAATATGATCAATGTCCACAATAAATAAAGATGAGGGTTGAGACATTAGCATTTTCCTTGGAAAATATTCATGTGACATATATTGTTAAAATGAGGTTCTGTAGTCATCAATGAACTTTTTTCTTAGTGTTGTCTTACCAACTCTATCTTACTAACTCTTGACTTCAAGCTATTTTGAGACTGCTTTAAGGTTAAGGTCAAAAGTAAGTTAATATTCTTGGTCTCTTTGAAGTCACGTTCTGATACTTGTAACTTGCTTCCATTTTTTTTTTGCTGAGGAAGATTAGCCCTGAGCTAACATCCATATCAGTCTTCCTCTATTTTATATGTGGGTTGTCACCACAGCATGGCTGACGAGTGGTATAGGTCCTTGCCAGGGATCTGAACTTGTGAACCCAGGGCACTGAAGTGGAGTGTGCCACACTTAACCACTAGGCCACGGAGTTGACCCCTCTCCTACTTATTTTGACTGATTCTTTCATCCCATGTATTGCAAAAGGTATATACACTGTCAAAATATAGAATTACAACATGAATATTTTTAAAAGATTTTTGGGACTGTATGATTAATGTTTGCAAATGAGCTTGATATAAATGGCCTCTGATGGATTATAAAAGCCTTGAAAGTGAGCAAAAGTGCAACATCATTTGTATTTTATGTTAATTCTGCCCTTGAATTGTTTCCCTAGTGCCTCTTTTTGCCTTTTCTCATAGGTGCTACTTGTGTGTTAAAGAAGAAATTCTCAGCAAGCCAGTTTTGGAACGACTGCAGAAAGCATAACGTGACTGTGTTTCAGTATATTGGAGAACTTTGTCGCTACCTTTGCAAACAACCCAAGGTAAGAGTAATCCTCAGAGAGGAAGAGTAATTTCAGAATGAAAAAGCATTGAGGGAAAAGGATTTTTTGCTTGTTTATTCTCCACCTTCTGTCAGAACATAGTTTAGCTGCCTTACAAAGATGTATGCAATACCTCAAGATAAAATGAATATAAAACAAGTCAGAGAAATCCAGGAATGGACTAATGTGTTTTATATTGTGGCAGGATAGGACAGACCCTCAATCCAGTCCACTTCATGTTTAAATGATTAAAATTTCTGTAAACATAGCGTGCATCCACTTATGAAATTAGATGCCTGCTGTGTTTACAGAAAGCAATTATTCCAAGGTTGAATTAGATAATTTTTTTAAATCCTGTTCTTTAAAAAAAACCCCAAAACTAATGACATTCATTATACTTGTTTTTCTATCATTTTCTTTTGAATTAGTGATTACATTAGAATATTTTGGGGGGGGGGTTGCTTTGATTTGATTTGTCTCCCCACCTGAAGCAATCATTTCCACATACTTGTGATAAATTGCCCCCTTCTGAAAACAGGCAAGCAGAGAGAGTTGCAAGGGCCTGACGTTTGTTTTTTATTAGTTTGTTTACTTTTTTGCTCTCACAAGTTATTTTCCTTTTCCCAGTTTCATTTGTATCTCAAGATGCTTATTTTTTCAATGTCTGATTTTCTAAACATTCTTGAGGCTACAAAGAAGTGACTCTTTCTGTAATCAAGTCAACATCAGCCCTTTGAAGAATGGCAATAGAGAACGCCTCCCTCTGTGAGGCGGGGCAGCAGAGCCTGGTGGCCTGCCCTTGATCTTTGAGAAACACTTTCCTAGGCTAGGGCATCTCTCACTCATCACCTTTGCCATCGTCACACCAGCTTAAGGTATGGATGGTGGGCTGGGATATCTTCTCTGGTTGGCTACAATTTGGACATGTAATCCTTCCTTTACACAGAGCACAGCTGAGACTAGGTTGGAGGCATTTAAATAAGACTTTATTAAAGACATGGGATTGCACAAAGGAGATAAACACAGAAAAGAATGTGAAACTGGATGATCGATCGTATTTACAAAATGCTTTTATTCGTTTTAAGCTTGGAGTTTGTGATGGAGAGACCTCTTTCCTTGTGGCACTTCTTGTGGAAGAAGACCCACTTCTTTGTGGCAGAAGCCAGGCTTACTCTTTTTTTGGTCAAGAGTGCTTCAAATTACTATATTTTCCCTAGATCCATGGCTAAGACAGGGCATCCCAGAGAAATGTTTTAGGTTTTTGACCTTTATTCTCTTAGGGAGACTTCGCCAGTGTCGGATTGTGGTCTTACCTGAAGCATCCCTGTAGAACAATTATAATGCCACGACTTGACATATTTTCTCTTCTGGTTTTCATTGTATTCTTTGGTAGTGTGCTAACTGGACTACGTTAATTTAAGGAATTAACGCCCTCCAATAAGATAAAAGCACCTTCAGTAAAGCACGTAGTAGGCGCTACCTTCTTCACGGCCTTTCTAAACTGTGACCCCAGCCATTCCTATTGCCTCTCATCCTTTAACAGCAACGTTAGCTTTTCAAGGTCATTTGCTCAGTAAGTATTTATTGAATGGTTGAAGACATACATTTTTTTTTTCTAAAGTTTTACCGTCTGAAATAATGCTGCAATTAGTATCTTCATGCAATAAAGCCACAGTATAGGGTCTCACAAGTGAAGTAGTCAAAGGACATGGATGTTTTGGTGATTTTCATGGCATATTTCCAAATTGCTGTTCAGAGTGATTGGCCTGCTTAGAATCTCATCAGCAATGTGAGAGTGTGCCTATTGCACAGTCTCTTATCAGTCCCGGGTGGTATTAAAAATACTGGCCTTTCAGTTGTGCTTCATGGAGAACTAGATGCTCCTTCAAGCTTCCTGAAAATTCCCTAAAGGATGAAGAACTCGGGAATAAGCCAGTCTTCATGGCCCACCCTTCCAGATATGGTGGATGAAACCCATTTGCTTGGGCTTCTTAATAATATTGTGTTTGAACAAAGAAAGTCTTGTTTTTTAAAAAAGAAAAATGGGAAAAGGATTATGTAATTTTACATATAATTTTATAGACCAGAAAAAAAACTTTTTTTAATTTCTTTGTTAAGAGTACTGGCAAGGTGGGATACTTTTTTAGCTGTATTTCCTTTTTAAAATGTCTCTCCTGAGTCTTTTACTCATTTATTTATTTGGCACATGTTTTATCTTATCCATTTGAGCTATCATTTCATATAATAAAGGTATTAATAGTTTGTCATATTTGCTACAAATCTTTTCTCAAGATGTTTCCCTTTGAATTTTCTTTTTGTAAAGTGAAATATCCTTTTCACCTCTCAATTTGTAATGCACTAATTTTGGGAAAATACTATAGCTGCAAAGAATTTGAGAGCGCTGAGAATTGAAAGCAGAGTTGCTGATTGCTTTTAGTTAATTAAATATTTTAATACTTAACTAAAGCTCTTTGAAGAAAAGATAGTGTTTGTGAAATAATCTCTAAGCACTTGCCTGAAGGCAAATTGAGGAAGAGAGAGGGAAATAAATACAGTTTTTCCCAAAGGAAAACTTAATAATTTTTTTGAGCAGACATGCATTGTATTACCTAATCCCCTTCACACAGAATGAGTTCAAGCAGCTCTTGGCATTAAAGACTAGGAAACGGAGAAAGTCATTCTGTTATGACATCTTATCCCTTCAAGGAGATGTTGCTTTTTTGCTGTTCAATATTCATTCCTTTCAGTGAACTGCTGAAAGAAACGGGCAGTGGCTGCTGTGCAGCCAGCACAGCAGTGGATTCAGGTAGGGCCAGAGAGTGAACAAGTGATGTGGTCCACACCCTAAAGAATTAAAATTGAATGTCTCATAAGCCATGGTTTGAAGCCCCATAGACATTTATTTAAAATAAATCCTTAAGTGAAAGCAAAACCACATATTCTCTAAATGTATGCAGACTTGGTGCAGATTTACCTGCAGGCAAAAGTTTCAGTTTGTGTTGAGTGCTTACATGTGGTTGCATAAAAACGCTCTAGGGTTGGCTTTTTCCCTGACTCGAAGCATTTATCGACACCCCTCCCAACCCAGTCTTTTTCTCTTTCGCAAAACTCCAGTTACAAAAGTTCCTTTGGCGTAAACTTTGGATGTGCCTCAAACTGCTGGCAACAGCACTATCCTTAAAAAAAGTGGAAGTTCTGGCTCCTTTCAGTCGCAGAGGGATGGGGTCATTAATCTCTTCCCAGAAGCTCTTCCTCACTTTCCAGTCTTCCAAGTTGTCTTTCATTCTGATTGGGTCTAGCTCTGTATTCTTCTCATGTTAATGCTGCATTTAATGCTGATAGAGGAGGAATGTAGCGGAACTCTAGATGTCACTGATCCTCTGGGGGACTCCTGCTGCACAGTTTATTTTGTTTAAATAACTCTGCCTAGGGCACTTGATAATTAGCTGTACCAAGGGATATATCTGGGGATAGGATCTTATATGTCACTCATTCATTCACTCATTTATTCATTCAAGTGATATTGTAGATTTGGGTATACAGGGACACACAAGATAAACAAGACTTTTTTTCTATGGAACTTACACTCTAGTTTAGAGAGAGAGAAAATAAACCAGCAAACACATGAAGAAAAGTAATTACAGGCAATGACTAGTACTATGAAGAAACAAAACAGATTGAGGTGATGGAGAGTGAGGGGTGGTGAGTGGGACGTTGCTAATTAGACTGAGTGGTCAGGGAAGACTTCCCTGAAATGGTGACTTATGAGCTGAGGAACTGATACAAGTGGGATCCAGCCGTGGAAAAGCTGAGGGGATTGCAGTTGCAACAGAATAACCTGAAAATGAAGAAGCCCATAGAGGACACAGCCTGAATGTTTGAAGAGAAGGAGAGTGTGGCTGGGCCATCCATGGGCCAGATCTTGTACGGCTCAGTAGACCATGGAGGAGAAGTTTGGATTTTGTTCCCATCAAAGCATTTGGAAAAAGATGAAGACAAACTGGAAAAACGATACCAGTTTGGGATCTATTTTGAAGCAAAGATAATAAGCCTTACTAACTGAGGGATAGGGAGTAAAGGATCAGATAGAATCAAGGATGAGTCACAGGTTTTTGGTTCAAACATCTAGGTAAAATTGTGAAGCATTTGCAGAGATAAGGAAAACTGAGATTTGAAGAATGAAAATTAAATTTCTTTAGGACTTGTTAAGTTTGGTGCGTTAATTAGGCATCCAGGTGAAGAAGTAAAATAAGCAGCTGGACATAGGATTCTGGAGCCCAAAGCGTACAGAGGTTGGGACCTAATTAACAAAGCAAAGACCTGTGTTATCATACACATGTATGATACTATTTTTCAAGTTAATATTATGGTTTATCATTTAGGCTATATAGTTTGTCTATAGCTCTCAATGTGGAATACCTACATTTTGACATTCTCAAGGCATAGCCTATACTTTTTAATATATGTATTTTAGTATATATATTTTCTGTATATCATATCCCTTTTCTTTATTCTGTTTTCTTAAATGCTAAGAAATTCACTAGGAGCCAGACAGTATTCTTATGATTTTGTACACTTTTGTTAAAGTATATTAAAACTTTGACAAAATGGGTTTACTCAACTCCCTTTATGAAAAGAGAAACATTTTAAAGTACCTGGATATTTGATAAATATTTATTAAATATTTTTCATTAAAAGCTATACAAGTTGTACTAAATTATTCCCTAGTAATGTTTAGATAATCCAGCAGTGAATGCCTAGGTGTTTGCTGGGTTCCTTTTTTTATTTTTAAGATTTTTTTCATTTTTCCTTTTTCTCCCCAAAGCCCCCTGGTACATAGTTGTATATATTGTTTTAGTTCTGGGTCCTTCTAGTTGTAGCATGTGGGATGCCACCTCACCATGGCTTGATGAGCAGTGCCATGTCCGTGCCCAGGATCCGAAGGGGCGAAACCCGGGGCTGCCCAAGTGGAGTGCGAGAACTTAACCACTCCGCCACGG